CACCGCTGCTTGTTTGTGCCGCATTACCAGCCCTAACGGAAGGAAATGAAGCTGTGTTGTTGCAATACTGCTGTGCAGTTCTGTCATTTGTATTTTCCAATCTGAGGGACAATACGACGAGAAATGTGCAATGTCTATGAATGCAATGCATTTCGCTGGGTTTTAAACTCCGGCTCGTTGGATTTTCTGTTCATTTAGTTCCGAAAACTCCCAAAACCCTGTGCACAAATTGGCGATCATGACGTTGGTGGTATAAGTGTCGAGCGCCCTGGAAATGGCGCTATATAAATTCGAAATAGAATAGAACACACGTTTAAAAAATTAAAGCTAATGTCCAAATTGGTTCGATCTGAATTCTACAAGATCCATTCGCTGCGAGGTATTTTTTTTACCATTTTGAAAACAAGGAATTGCTCTGCTTAAATGTCAAGAACATGCAATAAAAAGCCCAAACACCTCTATTATGAATGAAAATATTGATGTTTAAAAAACACAAAGCTGGTAAGATGTTCTAAGAAAAAAATTATGCCACCATTTAAATGATCTGCCAGGCAGGGCCCATGCCACGTGATATGGCGTTGTGGCACTTTGTCTCTCTTGTGGAGGTGGACAAGGCCCTCGTTCACAATGTAAAGAGGCCACGAGATCAACACGGCTGGGCTCAATGTCATGGAAGCTGTGCCGAGTTGATCCTGGTTAGCGCAGTGCTTGGATGATGGGGAGGCTACCCTGGAATGCCAGGCGGTTGCTGGCCTGGGCTGCTAGAAGACCCAGGGACGACAGTACAGCAATAGATTATTGCATCTAACGTTGTTGAGCTGTGGGTGTTTTCCCCTCGTATGCAGATTTACCCCCAGTAAATCGTCAATGATGTTGGTCAAACATTGCCATGGCATAACCCTCATGAGACAGTTTTGAGACGCAATGAGGCTTTCCCGGATACATAAAGGGCTGTATTATTTTGAAATGCAGATTCCAGGAAAGATAATCGACAATATGGATGATTATCTTAAGATATTATCATTTTGGCTGGCTGTAGGGAAAGAGAGCAGTGGGGGCATGCGGGATGGGGAGAGGGGTGTCGGCGGAGATGGTGGCGCTGGGGTAAACACGTGCGAAGCCAGATCCGCCGCCAGATAGGCAGAGCCTTGTACGGTACAATGCGAGGCCAGAGAGAGAAAGGGAGCATTCTCACGAGGACAGACAGAAACTCGACAAATGTGCCAAAAAGTTCAGATACTTATAATTTGATTGAAGGGCATTGCCAAAGACTGGCTGTGGGGCAAGAGCCTCCATTTTGCGATAGGGGTTCGCCGTTGTGCTTTATAGCGCTCCGATGTGATATTGGGTCATACCGCGTTGTTTGGCACGATGTCCAACAATAGTACGGTTGGCTACGGACAGTGCAAAAGAAGTTTAACACACACGCATATACATACGTTCGCTCCACGTGCTGGGATGTATCATGACCAGGCAACACCTACCTCTAGTATCTGATGCACATGCCTTTACCCCGAAGGCAGCTAGCTGTTTTAGTTTTAGTAGACGTGGTGGCTTTACGATCATCATGCCAAGTATTTCCCCACGAAGCCTCAGCGACTCTCCAGATTACTTTTCAGAAGCGTCCTGAATTGGATTTTTCTTGTAAATTGGAGTGCCCAGAGAAAACCCACCACAGAAAAAAGGTGGATATACTCAACACTACCATCTCCTGGCCACCTGGTACCCCTGGGTGATGTGGGTGTGGAGAAGGTCTGCGGGTAGCTGCATAAAACATATTCTTTGGGTCTTTCGGTCAAGTCACGTAGATAGGTTCAAAGAAAATAAGAAAAAACTACGACGTGTCGATCGCAACACAAGCGGTCGTCATCAGGAAAAGGGGGTTAGCCTCTAAGGCAAACTGTTTATAAAGGTTTGAAATGGGCGTAGCCCAAATGTCAGCAGCTAATGTTAATGTCAGTGGTGGGCAGCAACCACGACGGTGGTTGGTTTTCCACCAATCAAAGGGCTGCCATGTGAAAATTAGCATGTTAATGTAAGATCGGTGAGCGACTTCTATGTCGCGCGCGCTGAGGTGGCTATGTTAATGTGAGAGATGAGCATGTTCATGGGAGATCGCAGAGCAGAAACCTCTAGGTCGGCACGCGAAGTGGCTGTGTTCGTGTGAACTTGTTAATTAACTAACATCGGAAGGTGGTAGGATGGGAACATCACAGCTAGTTATGACTTAAACTGGTTAATAACGTCCTTCCAATTATTGCTCAGTTTGTACCCATCTTCTCGGTTGAAATTGTATCCGTGCCTATATATTTGGATGGCTTCATGAACGAATCTTTGTTGATAGCCAGTGGGTTTGCAAAGTACCTTCGTCTTAGAGAAATCAATTTCGTGTGAGCCGACCGCATTAAAACAATGATCAGCCACGGCCGAGGTATTGGTCCTACCGTGTTTCAGATCTGCTTTATGTTCACGAACACGGTCCGAGACATGTCGCTTTGTTTCCCCAATGTAACTACTGCCGCAGATACAGCTTAGTTTATAGACGCCGGGGTATTGCATGTCAGGGATCACATCCTTCACAGATGGGATCAGATCATGATTTTTATGTATTGTGTTAAATCGAACCTGGATCTTGTGTTTGCTCATGATTTTGGAAATATTTTTGGTGACCCCTGTTATGTATGGCAAGGTGATGGTTTTGATTAGGTCCTCAGATGATTCTTTCCAACGGTTGGGGTGATAGCTTTACGGATTGTGTAGTCTGAATAGCATTCATCTTGAGAGATTGGTGTACGTGCTCCAGTTCACTGGCTAGGTGGTGATGGTCGGAAAGGCATCGAGCTCTATGGTGTAAAGTTTTGATGAGGGAATTCTTCTGATGGATGGTGGTGGAGTCAGGTTTTAAATATGCATCCGTATGGGTGGCTTTCCTGTAGACAATGTCCCATTGAGCCATCTGGTCTCTTTTCGATTAAAACATCCAAGAATAGTAGCTTGCTATTCTTTTCCACCTCCATGGTGAATTTGATAGCTGGGTGTATGGAATTGATGTGCTTGAGGAATTGGTTCAGAGCTGGTCGGCCATGTGGCCAGATGACGAACGTGTCATCTCCGTACCTCTTCCACAAGGACGGAAGTAGAGTGGATGCCTGGATGGCATCTGTCTCAAAATTTTCCATGAAAACATTGGCTACAACTGGAGATAAGAGAGAACCCATTGGGGTACCTTCAACTTGTTTGTAGAATGTTCCATTACAGGTGAAGTGTTGGTGAGGCAGCGTCTCACCAGGGCCGGTACATCAGCATTGTCTTTGTTGGACCAAATCTTCAATGATTGCAATAGTGTCAGGCACAGGAACTTTGGTAAACAGAGACTACATCGAAACTAACGAGCAAATCACCAGGCGATAGTAAAATGTCCTTAATTAACGATACCAAGTGAGTTAAGTATAGCTGAGGTGGTCTTACCAGTGAATGGTTGTAAGGTCTCAGACATAAATCGGGTCAGTTTGTAGGTGGGTGAGTCAATGGAGGAGACGATAGGACGAAGGGGTGTACCTTGTTTATGGATTTTTGGTAAGCCATACAATCTGGGTGGTCTAGCAGGAGAGGGTTTTAAGGAACCCCGCTTGGTCGGTTCGATTAAATATGTCGAATCGGTGATGAAATTGTTGGTTATCGTAACAAGGCTGTTGGTGGGATCTTTTTGAATTAAGTAGGTCCTGAATGTTGTTATTGCATGTGGTTCTGTCCATGCTGACTGTGGCATTGCCCTTGTCGGCTGAGAGGATGACGACGTAATCTCTCTTTCTTAATTGAGAAATTTCAAAGCGCTCATCCTTACTGATGTTGCTAATAGGTGTCTTAGCGTTTTTGAGGACTGCAATGATTTTGCCACATCTGCAGTAATGTGTCCCAAACCTTTAAGGGCTACATCAACCTGGACAATGATATCATCAACTGGGATGTGTTTAGGGGTGACTGCGAAATTCAACCCTTTAGCTAGAACCGATTTTAGGCTGTTGGAAATTGGACTGTTACTCTGATTGATAACAATCTTGTCAACGTCCATTTTTGTTACGTGGATCTGGCTTCTTCTTGGAAAAAATGCTTAACTTGGAAATCAGGCTATCTTTGCATTTAGCTGCCATTGAGGCAGCTGAAGAGGCTGTCATGTCATCTACATGTTCCCAATCAGATGTAGACATTTTTTCCGTCAATGTTTAGTGTGATTTAGGAGAGTCTTGTCTAAATGACCGCCTCTGTCCAGCCAGCAGTATAAATGGGTACAACAGTTGATGTTCCGGCAAGTCACGTGTGGTGGGGTAAAGCGTGGGTACTTCAACCTCTGTGGGAACCTCATTTGCCAGTAAAAATATAATTGTTTTTTACCCTTCTATCTGGCAACAAAATTGACACCTTTTTACAAGGAGTCATGTTTGCATAGACCGCAATACCTGCAGTCATAATACAAACAAAAGACATAACTCTGATAATGTGCACTGTCCTTGAAGTTGATTGGTCCACACCCGAGACAGCTTTCCTTAGAGCCTAGTCTCACATGGTTTGGACCAGATGACGCCAAAAGGCGCACAACTCAAAGACAATGCACCATCAGAGTATGAGAGCTCGGGGCAAGCATCTAGTTGTGTGCCTTTTGGCGTCATCTGGTCCAAACCATGTGAGACTAGGCTCTAAGGAAAGCTGTCTCGGGTGTGGACCAATCAACTTCAAGGACAGTGCACATTATCAAAGTTATGTCTTTTGTTTGTATTATGACTGCAGGTATTGCGGTCTATGCAAACATGACTCCTTGTAAAAAGGTGTCAGTTTTGTTGCCAGATAGAAGGGTAAAAAACCAATTATCATACTTCAACCTCGTCGGGTCAGTGTGGAAGAGTAGGCCAAATATTATATCTATAGTTGGGCTCTCCAGAACTCTGTTTCGTCACACTTGATGTGTTTTATGCAAGACATTCGGATCGATCAAGTGATTGCTCGACATTGCTTACTACCACCCATGAGAACGACGTTTATTCAGATTTGAGAAAATACATTTGAAAAAATTAAAGTACTATTTTCTAACCTAACAGTTTATTGGCATATGAATGAAAGTTCACGTGAGGATGGGCTTCGGTAAGCTTGCATTTAAAGATGGAAATACAGTGGCAGAAACTGGAAGGAATCACCATATAAATGTCCAATCTCTGCAATGCGCGCGCGCGCGCACACACACGCACACATGCTGCAACATCGCGGGTTGCATCAGCGCATGATAACGTCAATGCCGTGCCTGCATTTTTTCAGCAATTGTGACCTTTTGGCTGCAGATCAGTGAGCTACCGGAGAGAATGCCGTGGCTTTCTGATGAAATATTCAGCACGAGCCACCTTGAGCCCCCCGACTCATGCCCCACATGCAGCGACTCCGTGGCACGAGGGAGAACGGCTTAGGGGCAAGCTTGCCAAAGGTCATTCGTTTATCGAGTTTTACCTCCTTTTCGTTTAGAAATTGAAATCGTGACATGCTGCACTTGCCTGATGATTGTTAAACAGGCGCCACGTGACGTAGAGAGTGCTAATTGACTTGAAGCAGAGCTCGCTACATCAAGCACTTGCACGTACAAAGACGGGGATCCCCCACATTGCATTTAACAGACTATTGGGGCACAAGTGCTGTTAGGGAGCCCCTATGAAGACCGGCACAGCACACGAGGGGGGTGAGTGGCCAGCACCACGCCCCCCCCCCCTCTTTGTCTCCACAGTGCTGATGTTTTATTCGGATAAGGCTAAGTCAACCTAGGGGATTCCCAGGCCCGGTTCAAATATACACCGCTGTAATTAGGAATCAAACTCGGGTCGCCGATTGGCAAAGTTGGCTACGTAAGGTGCGAAAAGAAGTTAAACAAACAGACGTAGAACGGTGCGATAAACACAACACTGCCGCCCCCCACACTTGCATGTACACACAGTTTCTATATTATTGTGACTCAGCTCTCTCTCGACTGCACGCGGGACATATTTATCAATCATCAGGCAGGTACAGCACATCACGACCCAATGAGTCTTGGGACGGAGGTACACGAGGACACTGGGCAAGCCGGGCCGTGGAGCGTCGTGAAGAATTGAGTCTGGAAAACCTCGGGCTCGGGAATGCCGAGTGACGCTCTCCATAGGCTGGTCAGGCCACGTGTGTTTAATCACTGGGTCCCCTCTCCGGGAAAACTGAATCTTCGCATGATTAACACCTGAAGGTGATGTCATTTGTGCTTTCACACCCCCCCCCCCCCTCGGCGATTCCACCCCGATGCTCAATCATGCCAACGGCACCGTCACGTCCGCGACACGAGACTCCAAAGTCATTTTAATCAACCACATGGTTTGCTTCTCGAGTCATCACCTGGAGAATACGTAATGGAATTTACTGCGATAGTATCATACGTAAGAACATAATTGACTTTCCACTTAAAATACATGTCACGATATTCAACACTGGTAAATATTTCCTCCTTTTCCTTCAATTATAAGCTACTTCTGAATAGATGCATCTCAATGTTATATTGTTACGTGATGTATATATATATCTATGTATAATATATTGTCGTGAAAATATGTTATGCTACAGAATCACCTACATATTTAGCGTCAAGACATATCCTAGATTTACAATTGGCAGTTCACAGCTGAATATTTACTGCTCCACCGTGTAATAAATACATCTGTGGAAGAATGCTAATAACAGTCGTTTTAACCCCCCAGCTCCCATTCAATACATATTAATATAATTCATACGAATAACTGATACACGCGTGTTGATTATCCATGTGGTGTCGTCATACACGGGATTAAAAGGAGCAGAAGCAGCAGAGTCAGCGCATCGTTCCGGTGCAGCGGACACCGAGAGGATGTCCCGCCGACCCTGCCCATCGCTCCGCGACGAGGATGACCACGACGATGATGACGATGGCGACCGCTTAAAACGACAACGAGGATACGGGCACAGCGAACGAGCTAAACAGCAACATTGGCGGGTTGGCGTGGCTGGCGAGGAGACGGACAGACGGGGACGGGTGGGCACGTGGGCTGGGCGGGCACGTGGGCTGGGCGGGCACGTGGGCTGGGCGGGCGCCGTCACTTGGTCGGCAGAGACCTCAGGATGGCGTTCACCTCCTCGGCGACGGCCGTGAGCGCGAAGCCGAACTGCTCCTGTGTGTGAGTGAGTGTGTGTGAGAGTGAGTGTGTGAGTGAGTGTGTGAGAGTGAGTGTGAGAGTGTGTGTGTGAGTGAGTGTGAGAGTGTGTGTGAGAGTGAGTGTGAGAGTGTGTGTGAGAGTGTGTGAGTGTGTGTGCGAGTGTGTGAGTGTGTGTGTGTGAGTTTGTCAGTGTGAGTGTGTGTGAGTGTGTATGAGAGTGAGTGTGTGAGTTTGTCAGTGTGTGTGTGTGAGTGTGTCAGAGTGTGTGAGTGAGAGTGTGTGGCAGTGTGCAGGGGGCGGCGAGGGGTGGGGGCGGGGTTTATGCAACCGGGTGGGGAATGGTGGGGGGGGGGAAGCAGAGGCAGGTGGGCGTGTGAGAGATACACAGAGAGAAAGCATTCGTCGTCGGCCATTGTCTATCTGCTGCTGGATGAAGGCCTACGCACGCCGTCGCCATTCGTTACTGTCCAGTCCTGCTGCCACCCATCTCGCTCATGCACGCGAACTGATCTCATCGTTCAGGGAGTTTTGTTCGAGCAGGGAATTCACAATGATAATACAATATTTAGTGTAGGACCGCCGGATGTTACAAGGAGCGCAGAGTGGCTTCTAGATCAGCACTTGGACAGCGCATCCCACCGTAGCACACGACCCAAAGAGGGAGAATGGCTTCCTTTGGCCTCGTGGGCGTGATGAGTGAGGATCCAGCAACGTGCTCAACAAACACGACATCAGCGCGCCCACCACCAACACACAGCTCATCAGTGACCCCACCACCACCACCCGGCTTTCCCAACACACAGCTCATCAGTGACCCCACCACCACCACCCGGCTTTCCCAACACACAGCTCATCAGTGACCCCACCACCACCACCCGGCTTTCCCAACACACAGCTCATCAGTGACCCCACCACCACCACCCGGCTTTCCCAACACACAGCTCATCAGTGACCCCACCACCACCACCCGACTTTCCCAACACACAGCTCATCAGTGACCCCACCACCACCGCACTGCCCGGCTTTCATCTTCCACGGAAACAACGGATAGTGCTTAACTGGATCCGCACAAACCACAAAAGATGCGGTGGATACCAAATGCACAAGCAGAGAATACAATTATTTCTCTCTTGTCTGTGGGACTGCAACTACGAACACCAAACTATGGAGCATGACATTTCGTACTACCCCAATATACATTTGAAAGTGGTCAGTGGGTGAGTGAATGGGCGAGTGAGTGAATGGGTAAGCCGGTGAGTGGGTGTGTGAGTGAATTAGTGAGGTGGTGAATGAATGGGTGTCTCTGCGATTCCCCAACTCTCAGACAAAGCGATTGAACGATAACATCACTGCGAACCGAATCTGTGATGGTCGCCCTCCATTAGCCACACGAAATACAGGAAGTGAATTCTGCATGATGCTATCCAATTGAACTATGTCAACGATATATCTGGAAAGCCTGGATGAGCTGCGGGACGCTTCTGCAGGAGACTCTTGACACATTGGCGTGCTTAGTCGATCCCGTGGACGAGGGATTGGCTTGGTGTTGGATGAGACCGCGAGTGCACGGAGAACATCCAGCACTGTGCTGCTCTGTACGAGGGGGAGACACTCGGGACGGCCACCTCCTGGTCACACCTCCCAGCGCCACGAATACACCACCAGCCCTGCCCTGGTGGTCTTCGCTGGCGGTACTAACCAGGCTCGATTTCTGCTTAGCTTCTGAGATCCAGTGTAATCAGCTGTTGGACTTAATGTTATAACATCACCCTCATGTATCGTCACACTATCATTCATAAATCCAGCTCAAGAGCTGATTGTCAAGGGAGACTTGGGTAACACCGGACAAAAAAAAACAAATATTTAATATAAATAGGAAACTTTAGAATAAAACGTGGGGTGATGTGCGTATTCACGCGTGTGCACGCTATCGTTTTGATCGCTATTCCGAGCAGAGTCCCGCTCCGCGAATATTTGCCAAGATCCCTTTTGTGGCCGCCCAATTAGTGCGTCCCCTTTATTGCGACTGCCGCCATAATAAGACTGCAGAAACACACACACACGGGCAGAGCCAAATAAATAAAATGTAAATGCGTCGCACGTTCTTCTGTCTCTCACCTTCGTTTCCACCATTCCGAGTCTCTGGTCTCTGATGAACTCCAAGGTGGCCGCAATGTCAATCTCCTTTGTGCCTAGAGACACGAGCAAGCACGCCGAGATGAGAGGGATTCGCAGGCGTTGGCAGCGCGATCAGCGCCTAGGGAAGGTCACGGCAGGGTTGGGGGGGGGCATCTCCAGCAACAAATCAACTCGTGACGACGCACGGCATCTTCACCCACAACGAGAAGCCCAAGTACCACACACACAAGGCGCCTCGTCACGGAGAGAGAGACAAACTCACGGGACGTGATGATGAGACGGTGATGAAGAAGGCGGGGGGGGGGGCTGCAGGAATATTTCCCGGGGCTTGAGCGGTTGCGCAACGACGCGCATCACGGCGTGGATGGGGGCCACGGCTGTTGCCGAACGCGCGGGGAGGGGAGGGCCGCGTGGGGCCGCGAGGGCCGCCGCTCTGCGGGGGCCGCCGCCGCCGCGCGCCCACGCGGCCCCCCAGAGGCCGCGGCTCGTTTCATGATCAGTCGAGCGAAAGGTCACGCGCGGTGGAAGCGGCATCAATGAGCGCTGGCAATCAGCGAGGGACCTTCGCCTTTTAGCCTTGCACCAGAAAGCTTTAATAACATATTTATATATAAACAAACAAAAATATAGAAATACATTCATAAATGGGGGGGGGGGGGGGGGGTTGAAAGCAGCGCGGGGCCCTGGTGTCCGGCCATTCTTGTGGTGCCAGAGGAGACGTCACCGCCGGTGACTCTGACTCTGCTGTCAGTTGTGCCGGTCGGCGCGCCGCTGTTTGTTGTGGCATTCGGTGCGCGTTTAAAACTGGATAAACAACGAGGCTCGAGAAGAAATACGAGACGCGCAAATAATGAGAACAACACAGACGCCAAGCGCGAGAGTCGCGAGCCCGTCGGGGCGACTCGGTGGGCGAGTCCGACTGAGTCGGCCCGGCACTCGGGGTGACGTCTCGGCCCGTCGCTCGACCCCGCCGGTTCCCAGAGAGCCGGTGGCTGACTGCGCTCGCGCACTGCCACTCGCTCGCTCACTCATTTGCACATCCGCTCATTCCACTTGCGCACCCGATCGCTCACTCACGCTCCAGCCAACCTGCTCACCGACTCATTCGCGTTACCCACTCGCTGGCTCACTCGTTTGTGCACTCACCCACCCGCTCACCCACTCTCGTGACCGCCAACTCACTCACGCAATTGCTCACTCATTCGCTCACTTACCCATTCAATCAATCACCCACTTACTCCCCAACCGACTTACTCATTTGCTCGCTCACTCATTGACTCACTCACCCACCCACGTACTCACCTACCGACTCACTCATTTACTCCTTCGCTTATTTGTCATTCCCTCACTTCATTTTGACTCACTCACTCAGCACCACACGCAAGCCGCTGACGGGGGCAGCTCGCGGTAGCCCTGGCCTATGGGCACCTCTTCACGAGCGGCTTCACGAGCTGCTGCTGCTGCCGGCTGGGGCGGGGGGGCTGGGGGGCGGGGCTGGGGAGGGGGTCTCTCACCTTTGGCGAGGCGGCTGAGCACCAGGTCGATGAGGATGTAGACGCCCGTGCGGCCGGACCCGTCACTGCGGAGACCGCGCGCTCGCGGTTAGGGGCGCTGGCCACAGCGGGGGGGCGGGGGCACCTCGCTCCCTGGCGGGGCCCCGCGCGAGCCCCACCCTCCCCCCTACGATCACTCGACACGTTAAGACATCTGGCGCGCTGCTGCCACGTCGAACCCGACGGTGCCGAATCGGTACCACGATCCCTAACGCGACAGCGCTTGGCTGTGAAGTCGAAAGCGTCGTTCTCAATCGCTCTCTCCCCTGCCACTCTCTCACCCATTCCCCAACCCCGTCTCCCCGCTCCGGGACTATTTTCCCGGCAGCTCGCAGCGCAGACTCCTCCCTTTACCATCATCACCATCATCCGAACCCTCACCGTACTTCCCCAACGCCTGTGTGACCCCTGCCCACACCGACTGCACCCCCCTCCTGGCGTGAAGGTCACTGCACCATTGACCGTGAGCTCTGTACGACGACTGGTGACCCCTAATGACCTATGGTCGACGTCCCAACCACAGCCGTGACTGGAAGCGTCTCCCCCATGCTCCAGGGATGTCTCAAGGCTCTTCCTCTCATTCCTCCCCTACAATAATAATAATGGCATGTATATAACGGCTTTTCACCAAGGAACTCACAGCGCTGTACATGACACAGCAAGAAGCAGACACTCAGCGTAACAATAATGATGTTATAAATACATTTACTAATTTAACTAAAAGTGTAATATGCGGGAACAGCGATTTGGGAATCGCTTTTTGTAAAATGCATTCAAGGCCGAGTAACACGTGGGGGGGGGGGGGGGTTAGTCTGGTGGGGGGAGCGGGGGTAGTGAAACAGTGAGGCGTCATGGGCAAGCTGTGACTGCTGTGATGAGTGGCCTCTCACCTGCAGTGCACGATGACCGGGCACGAGCGACCCCTGTAGCATTTGTTCACTTTCCTGTGAGACGACACAGAGAGAGAGAGAGGCACATACAGGGAGAGAGACACAAAGAGGGAGACAGAGAGGAAGAGAGAGAGAGAGACACAGAGAGAAGGACAGACACACACACAAAGTGAGGGACAGGCATAGAGATACACACTTACAGGGAGAAGGGAGCGAGACGAGAGTTGGCGAGAGAAACAAGAGGGCTGGAAGAGAACACGGTGAGATGAGTGACAGACGAACAAGTGGCAGGGGGCAGGAGATGAGAGATGCGAGGAGAGAGACGGGAAGTGGCACGCAGAGAGAGGAGGTGGCGGAGTGGAGAGGTTGGGGGGCGTGGGTAGAGAGAGCGGGGGGGGGTCAGCGGCTCGCCTTGTGGAACTCTCGCCACAAACAAACCCCCGTCCATGAACCAGCAGCGACTGACTGGGACATGCCGCTCCGTGTCCCCCGAAAACCGCGCCGGGCACCCACGGCACGGCAGCGGTGCCCGGGGCCCGGCACGGCGGCGGTGCTCGGGGCCCGGCACGGCGGCGGTGCGGAGCTGCTGCGGCTTTCCCCAGCGCAGGGGCGGGGGGGGCAGTCCTCTAAGGCGGGCGCAGTGGGAGTGCCCTCTGTGTGTCAGTGTGTGTGTCTCTGTGTATGTCAGTGTGTGTGTCAGTGTGTGTCAGTGTGTGTGTCAGTGTGTCTCAGTGTGTGTGTCAGTGTGTGTGTTAGTGTGTGTGTTTATGTGTGTGTCAGTGTGTGTGTCTCTGTGTGTGTCAGTGTGTGTGTCAGTGTGCGTGTCTCCTTGTGTGTCAGTGTGTGGGTCAGTGTGCGTGTCAGTGTGTGTGTCAGTGTGTGTGTCAGTGTGCGTGTCTGTTTGTGTGTCAGTGTGCGTGTCTCTGTGCGTGTCAGTGTGCGTGTCAGTGTGCGGTAGCGTAGCGGTTAGCGCGCTGCGCTATGCACCGGGTGAGCCGAGTTCGTGTGAACGCGTGCGTGCGTGCGTGTGAACGCGTGCGTGTGTGTGAACGCGTGCGTGCGTGCGTGTGAACGCGTGCGTGTGTGTGAACGCGTGCGTGCGTGCGTGTGAACGCGTGCGTGTGTGCTATCGGGCACCCCCACGGCGCATCATCACTCCAACGTGAGCACCATCCCTTTCATTCCAAAGCAACCTCAACTGGGCCGGGCCGAGGAGGGTCCACAGCTTCCAATGATCACTTTTGTGACTATGCAACTTTACTAATGAAACCAGCTGCAAATCACAAAAATGACATCGGCTGCCGGGGAAGCGGTGTGCGCAGCGGACTGCATTTACACCCTCACATTTACACCCTCACATTTACACTCACATTTACACCCTCACATTTACACCCTCACATTTACACCCTCACATTTACACTTACATTCACACCCTCACATTTACACCCTCACATTTACACTCACATTTACACCCTCACATTTACACTCACATTTACACCCTCACATTTACACCCTCACATTTACACCCTCACATTTACACTCTCACATTTACACCCTCACATTTACACTCACATTTACACCCTCACATTTACACTCACATTTACACCCTCACATTTACACCCTCACATTTACACTCACATTTACATCCTCACATTTACACTCACATTTACACCCTCACATTTACACCCTCACATTTACACCCGCACATTTACACCCTCACATTTACACTCACATTTACACCCTCACATTTACACTCACATTCACACCCTCACATTCACACCCTCACATTTACACTCACATTTACACCCTCACATTCACACCCTCACATTTACACCGTCACATTTACACCCTCACATTTACACCCTCACATTTACACCCTTACATTTACACTCTCACATTTACACCCTCACATTTACACCCTCACATTTACACCCTCACATTACACTCACATTTACACTCCATTTACACCCTCACATTTACACCCTCACATTCCACCCTCACATTTACACTCACATTTACACCCTCACATTCACACCTCACATTTACACGCTCACATTTACACCCTCATCATTTACACCCTCACATTTACACCCTCACATTCACACCCTCACATTTACACCCTCAATTTACACCTCACATTTACACCCTCACATTCACACCCTCACATTTACACAACCTCACATTTACACCCTCACATTTACACCCTCACATTTACACTCTCACATTTACACCCTCTACATTTACACTCACATTTACACCCTCACATTCCACTCTCACATTTACACCCTCACATTTACACTCTACATTTACACCCTCACATTTCCACCCTCACATTTACACTCTCACATCTTACACCCTCACATTTACACCCTCACATTTACACTCACATTTACACCCTCACATTTACACCCCTCTACATTTACCACCCTCACACCAATTCAGCACCCTCACATTTACACCCTCCATTTACACCCTCACATTTACAACCCTCACATTTACACCCTCACATTCACACCCTCACATTCACACCCTCACATTTACACCCTCACATTTACACCCTCACATTTACACCCTCACATTTACACCCTCACATTTACACTCTTACATTTACACTCACATTTACACCCTCACATTTACACTCTCACATTTACACTCACATTTACACCCTCACATTTACACCCTCACATTTACACCCTCACATCTACACCCTCACATTCACACCCTCACATTTACACTCACATTTACACCCTCACATTTACACTCTTACATTTACACCCTCACATTTACACCCTCACATTTACACCCTCACATTTACACCCTCACATTTACACCCTCACATTTACACCCTCACATTTACACCCTCACATTTACACCCTCACATTTACACCCTCACATTTACACTCACATTTACACCCTCACATTCACACCCTCACATTTACACTCTCACATTTACACCCTCACATTCACACCCTCACATTTACACCCTCACATTTACACCCTCACATTTACACCCTCACATTTACCCTCACATTTACACCCTCACATTTACACTCTTACATTTACACTCACATTTACACCCTCACATTTACACCCTCACATTTACACCCTCACATTTACACTCTCACATTTACACCCTCACATTTACACTCTCACATTTACACTCTCACATTTACACTCACATTTACACCCTCACATTCACACCCTCACATTTACACTCACATTTACACTCTCACATTTACACCCTCACATTTACACCCTCACATTAACACCCTCACATTTACACTCTCACATTTACACCCTCACATTTACACTCACATTTACACTCTCACATTTACACCCTCACATTTACACTCTCACATTTACAACCCTCACATTTACACCCTCACATTTACACTCTCACATTTACACTCACATTTACACCCTCACATTTACACCCTCACATCTACACTCACATTTACACTCTCACATTTACAACCCTCACATTCACACCCTCACATTTACACTCACAATTTACACTCTCACATTTACACCCTCACATTTACACCCTCACATTTACACTCTCACATTTACACCCTCACATTTACACTCACATTTACACTCTCACATTTACACCCTCACATTTACACCCTCACATCTACACTCACATTTACACTCTCACATTTCACCCTCACATTCACACCCTCACATTTACACTCACATTTACACTCTCACATTTACACCCTCACATTTACACCCTCACATTTACACCCTCACATTTACACTCTCACATTTACAACCCTCACATTTACACTCACATTTACACTCTCACATTTACACCCTCACATTTACACTCTCACATTTACACTCTCACATTTGCACTCTCACATTACACTCTAACATTTACAACCCTCACATTTACACCCTCACATTTACACTCTCACATTTACACCCTCACATTTACACTCTCACATTTACACTCACATTTACACTCTCACATTTACACTCTCACATTACACCTCTCACATTTACACCTCACATTTACACTCTCACATTTACACTCTCACATTTACACTCTCACATTTACACCCTCACATTTACACTCTCACATTTACACTCTCACATTTCACCTCTCACATTTACACTCTCACATTTACACCTCACATTTACACTCTCACATTTACACTCTCACATTACACCCTCACATTTACACTCTCACATTTACACCCTCACATTTACACACTCACATTTACACCCTCACATTACAAACCCTCACATTTACAACCCTCACATTACACCCTCACATTTACACTCTCACATTTACAACCCTCACATTACACTCTCACAGTTACACCTCACATTTACACCCTCAACATTTACACCCTCACATTTACACTCTCACATTTACACCCTCACATTTACACTCACATTACACTCTCACATTACCTCTCCCATTTACACCCTCACATTTACACTCTCACATTTACACCTCACATTTACAACTCGCACATTTACACTCTCACATTACAACCCTCACATTTACACTCTCACATTTACACCCTCACATTCACACTCTCACATTTACACCCTCACATTTACACTCTCACATTTACACTCACATTTGCATCCTCACATTTACACCCTCACATTTACACTCTCACATTTACACCCTCACATTTACACCCTCACATTTACACCCTCACATTTACACTCTCACATTTACACCCTCACATTTACACCCTCACATTTACACTCTCACATTTACACCCTCACATTACACTCACATTTACACTCTCACATTTACAACCCTCACATTTACACCCTCACATTTACACTCTCACATTTACACCCTCACATTTACACTCACATTTACACTCTCACATTTACACCCTCACATTTACACCCTCACATTTACACCCTCACATTTACACCCTCACATTTACACCCTCACATTTACACTCACATTTGCACCCTCACATTTACACCCACATTCACACTCTCACATTTACACCCTCACATTTACACTTTCACATTTACACCCTCACATTTACACTCACATTTACACTCTCACATTTACA